GTGTAAAAATGTAATGAGTAAAAGTAAAAAATATGCTGAAAAATAATTACTCAAGTAAAGTACATATACCCAAAAATTCTACTTAAGTACAGTAACAAAGTATTTGTACTTAGTTACTCTACAACTCTGCATGTAGATGATAAACAGCTGCAGTCTGAGGGGGACACAGACCCTCTGCTTTAACATCTCACACAATGACTCTAATTTATTCCACTAATTAAGACGTGTTCAAAGTGAAAAAGTGATCTGTGCACAAACATAACCTGATAACAGAGGAAAGTGGTTCGGATCAGGCTGCTCTCTGCCTCGTGGACCCAGTGGGTCAAGTGTGAGATCACTGTTTATAAAGTCTGAACCATAATCTGACAACGTCACCACCCACTCCCATGAACCCGCGTCCCCCCGGCCCGCCCTCCACCCACTCCGCTTTAAGCATCGGCATGACATCATCCCTCTGGGTATGAAGCAGGTTTAAATGGGGGGAGGGGTGTAGGGGGTCTGGTTTTGGGAGGCAGACATGTTTAGGTTTGAGCCAAGCTGGATCAGTTTCACAGAAAGAGGTTTGGACAAAGAGGATCAAAGCCTTTGATCCTGCTTCAGACGGCTCCATCAGGACTGAATTATTCTGCAGGTTTCACACAGAAATCTACATCTTCATTAGTTTGACCGGTTTGTGAAGAAACCCTCCTATAAATATCTGAGCTGGCCTCAGACAGACCGACACATCATCCAGTAGCTGCTGTACACTCTGCAGTGATTTACTGCAGCAGCCTGTCTGCACCTCAGCTCACACAATRACTCAACAAACATGGAGATCTGTGATTCCCAACGCTCGTCTCTTCAGATCAGGCAGGAGATATTTGTTCCTTTTGGACACAGTTGGACAGTTTGAAGATGGAGAACTCCTGCAGGCTGACATTCAGCTGGTTTTAGCTGACCTATCTGTCAGTACTACCATGTACCTGTTCACATAACATCAAACGGTACCATGTTTCTGTACCTAAACACAACATTGACCGTACTGGCCTAAGAGTGGTGGATTTTCCATGATTCTCCTGAACGTAGCATAGCACTTGTAGCGTTGGGTGTGTTTTGGATGCTCAAAATGTAGCTTGAATAACTTATTTATTTTAACTCCATCCTTATTTGATTATTTGATTTAAATTACTTGCCTTCCGTGGACCTCCATCACAGTTTTTCTAACGGGGAAATGACATCAATAGAAACACGTGGAGCTGGATTTTAATTTGTGAAATAAGAAAACACTGTGTTAGTTGTTTTCAGGAGTTTTCACTTTAAAGAAATTAGTTAAACTGATGTTACAATACAAAGAGTTGGATGTTGTCTTGATACTGTATTTGTTAAATTATATTGAGAAATAAATATGTTAAAAGGATCCATGATTAGTTGTAACATTAGACTTTATTTAATAAACATATATTTTAACTG